GCAAGGAAGATAAAAGAAACTATGCTGGGAGTGCTTTCTTTTAATGCCAATCATCCCAGATTTTAACGAACATATGGCCTACATTAACCTTTGTTTTACAACGTACGGGCCAAAATGACCCAAAAATTTCAAAAACGCGTGTGTATCAGAGGGTAGTGATCGGAAGAAGTTGAGGCTTTGAGTAGCTTTCCTTCTTGTCTTCCTGAAGACGTGGACCACTTGAACCCTTTTCACAGGTGACCTCGTAATATTAGAATAAAGTTAGAAAAATGATGGTATGGGTCAATATGACCTCACGTTGTACGACATGTTCTTTTAGTTTTAGTTCAAAAATAATTTCTTTTCTCGATGCTTTTCTTTGTAATCTTCCTGGATTGTTTCAGCCAATGCAAATAGTTCACATTTTGTAACTGACGAAGAAATTCGACGTGAAATAGGAATATCAGTGATAATGAAAACGAGGAATACTTTTCTGATGAAGTAACTTACAGTGAATATGAAAATGCTTTGTTGCCAAACGACAATGATAAATCTGACGCTTTCGACGTTTTTCCTGAAGACGATGCGCTCTCGGAGGACCAATTTAGCCTAGAAAATTTTTCAAATTTTGGTTTCGAAGATAGAGAACAAAGCAGAAATTTTGTGTTGGGCAAAGGTGGCGAAACTATCTGGACTGATACCGATCTTTTACCGTCCAGATTAGTTTCAAGGAATATGATTACCCATTTGCCTGGTGCCAAAGGAAATTCTCGGAACCTTGTAGATAAGGAACCATTGTATTCCTTATTCATCAACCAAGCCATGATTGATGTCATTGTAAAATATACCAATGAACAGATTGATAAATAAAAACTCAATACAGTCCTGACCAGCGCTATATTGGACGCACAAATGGTCTTGAAGTGAACGCTTTGCTGGGCCTTTTATTTTTCAGCGGCGTTATTTGAATTCAGGATTTGAACCTGAATGCCTCAGACATATTTTGTCGTCTATTTAGACCATCGATTTTTCGAGCAGTGATGTCCAAAAACCGATTTATCTTCCTTCTTTGCTTTCTGTTCTTCGGAGTATGTATGTCATTTTTGTTCCTTGTGGTACTGTGTTCCATTTTGGTGAAGTTACCTTTTTCATTTACATTTTATAATAATTTAATGTGCACTTTGTTTGACCGTAGTTTTTTAGATAATATCAAAAACTCGAAGTTAAACTTTTACAAAGAAAGATTTCCCAAAATGTGTGGTGATTAGTGACCGTTAATCGATATTTATTTAGAAATCGTGAGATGCGGTCTGGTGTGATGTAGGTTTCAGAAAAAACATTTTCTTTATCGTGCCAACGTTTCGATCTTTATTGAGATCATCTTCAGATCCATGCCAGTGACTGGCACTCTCGACACGACACGCAAGAATGGCACTGAAGATGATCTCAATAAAGATCGAAACGTTAGTACGATAAAGAAAATGTTTTTCTGAAACCTACATCACACCAGACCGCATCTCACCATTTCTGAATAATTATCGATTAACGGTCACTAATCACCATACAAATGTTTTTATATATCAACAAAAGAAAAATTAAACCCAACTCAGGCTATTCACTGAAAGGAGGTCCAAAATATAACCCAAAGGCCGATAATTTTTAAATACATAGAAAAGCCCCATAAAATATTTAAATATGAGCTGGACTCCAAGCTGACTTACACTCATTACATCAACCTTGTCTGTGACAAAACCATTGGAGCACATCATAAATTATTGCCGCTACTAAATAAAACAATCTGGCTTAAATGTTAATGACAAAATTCATCGACCTTATCCATAAAACACTCATTTTATCTTACAACTTCTTTTGGTCAAATATATGAAAAACCAATTACAGAAAAAATGTCTGAGAATGGTGTGTGCATTTCACAGATAGATTGCTATTGATTATTTTCAATTTTTTTTAGCATACCAAGCATATACACATCTATTTACTGGGGGACAGAAAATTTTGTGAAATCGTGTGAGAACAAGCTTCATCAGCACATAAACGAAATTGTTAATTAGAATATTAGCTCGCCCAATTATAAAAAAATATAAACATGAAGCACATTCTATTATATGTTAATCTTGTAATTTTTAATTGTCGGTAACCCAGTATTCTAATTTTCTCTAAAAATCCCATCGTCTTCAAATGTGGCTGAATTAGATTTCTTCTTCTTCTTTTCATTCTTTACAGTGGTACAGAAATTCATTTCCGCAGTTTCTGAAATATGGATATCTAAATATTGTTAAAAGCACAGTTTCAAAAATGTTTTATTTTTATTTTTCGAGTTAACATTTTTTTTGAAGTCCAAAAATAAAAAAACTGATTTAAAAAATGAGAATTTTCAATATCAAATTAAATCAACAACATAATTAGATGAACCGCGGTTCAATTATTGAAATATTTTATCTATCATATTTTAACAAAATTTGGTCCATATGTGTAGTTAAATTTCTGGGATTAAACCCCCAAATCTGAATTGCTTTGTTATGGTTCTTCTAAAACCTTTCAGACTCACACTAAGTGAATCAAAATCTAAAGAAAAATTGAAAAATATAATGATATAAAGTGATAGGCCGATATTAATTGGGGTGGGTTAATCCTCTAAGACAAGGAATCAACAAAATATATTAAGAAATTATAAATAAATCTTAAAAAAGCTTATTATTTTGTTTCGTTAAAATTTTTGTTCAAATGTGTGGTGAAGGACCTCTGACATCCTGGAACTGTTTGGTTATAGGTTCTCAAAATAAATTTATTTAGATAAATTTTCGAATAATCAATTTTTTTTAGTAAAAATTATTGAATATTTATACTTTTATTATATATATCTAGATGCCGATTATAAAACCTTGTGATTTAGGGATTAAACTTGCGTGTTTGCAAACGAAAATAATATAGACAAAAAATGTAAATGTTGAGCTAATTAATCCTATAATTGAAAAACGAATCAGTTTCTTGTCATAGCAATGTCTCCCCACTGGCCCATACTTAAGTAAATCCCTAACTAATTTATGTGAGTACCGGATTCCGTTGAATGAACTCTCATGAATCTTATTTTTTACTATTTATTAACTGTGCATCAATAGGAAATTACTACAATCTGTCAGTGGAGTATGGCAGGTGACGTCTCGGCCCAAGGTCAGCGATTTCTGCCGTGTCACAAATCATGAAGCTTGAGATGTTCCAGTTATCACGTTTTATTCAGTGAAATAATTTTTTTCGAGATAGCTGCTTGATTAAATTGAGTTGAAAACAGCAATTAATGTAATTGCTTATTTTGTTCTCAGGAATCATTTCATGTAAATTCACCCCTCTTGTACCAGAGGGTTCTTTCGAAAAAGTTAACCCTTACGAGTAATTATTCAGAAATCGTGAGATACGGTCTGGAGTGATGTAGGTTTCAGAAAAACATTTTCTTTATCGTGCCACGTTTCGATCTTTATTGAGATCATCTTCAGGGCTCAAAGTGTTTGTTTTCTGGGTAATTGTGCCATTCTTGCGTGTCGTGTTAAGAATGCCCTCGGCAATTGGAATTATAAATTTAGAAATCTTTTTAAGAACAAAATTATTTAAAAACTTTTTTAGTTGAGATGAAAAAAAGTCAATGGCACGATCGGGATTCGAACCCACGATCTTCGGCTAGATACGCCACTGCTCTACCACTTGAGCTATCGTGACCTCGAACCACTCGGACATCAACTTCCTATCTCAACCCCACCTTATGAGTTTTCCCTCCTTTTTGCCATTTTTCAAATGTGTAATCGGATTGGATTCTCGACGACAATTGAAATGGTCACGGAGAGCTTTAGTGAAGTGTACTTCATTTTAATCATTAAATTCACTGATTTCGTGGTCCGCTTGACCAGTTAATACAGTACAATTAATTAAGGTTTTTAGTTGAGATGAAAAAAGTCAATGGCACGAGCGGGATTCGAACCCACGATCTTCGGCTAGATACGCCGCTGCTCTACCACTTGACATCGTGACCTCGAACCACTCGGACATCAACTTCCTATCTCAACCCCACCTTATGAGTTTTCCCTCCTTTTTGCCATTTTTCAACCGAGGTCACGATAGCTCAGGTGGTAGAGCAGCGGCGTATCTAGCCGAAGATCGTGGGTTCGAATCCCGCTCATGCCATTGAATTTTTTTCATCTCAACTAAAAACCTTAATTAATTGTACTGTATTAATTGGTCAAGCGGACCACGAGATTAGTGAATTATTTAAAAAGTTATCATAAAAGGTATTATTATCTTTCAAGCATTTAAAAAGGGGTTCCAGTGCCGAACAATTTTCTGATTTTAAAGTAAAAGGTGTTGAAGTAGTTTGTTCTCTCAAACAGTACCAATTATGATCAAAGTTGGAGATTTCAAATGCACTAATTTTCTCTTTAATATTCTTACCGACACATGAATAATTTATTAAATTCATTTGCGATTTAAAATTATCTGTTTTGAAGCAATCAGATTAATCAATTTCATTAAAATTTCCTTATTAGGTTTGTCATTAGTTGCTGATCTAATCAACTCCCAAACCTTTTTAGGATCTTGTTCAGAATCAGCAACCATTTGTTTAAAATGGTTATATTTAGCGTTTTCCATAAAGATTTTCCTCGGCGATTTAATAAAAAAAGAAGCTATGCTGTTACCTAGTTTAACAACTTTATTTTTATTAACAGCTTGTCATTAATTTAACTAGAACGAATTTATGTCTGGTAATTAATAACCATTCATAAACCACCAAACTTTTTTCATTACTATCGATTAATTAAAGAAGATATAATTTGTTATATCTGTGTGTGATTCACATTCCACTTACTTCTCCTAATAGGACAGGATATAATTATTTACGTCATGTCGCTTAATTCCATCGGGCTAAATTTAACAAAAACTGTTCTTTTTATCATTTTTCCTGTATCCTGCATTGGTTTTTTTTTTTAGACGAAATTACTTAATTTTTTTAACCTTACCTTTGCCGTTAGACGATAGGACGAGATGGGAAATATGAATATCGGAATGCCGATGATTGATGTTGGAGGTCGAAGACAAAGGGATCCCTTTCGATGCGATGAACCGAACTTCCTCTGTTTTACGCTTCAAAGGCTTTTCATAATGCACAAGGCACAACCACTTGGGGGGGCCCCCGGGGCCCTAATCGCCCAATTCCAGAACATAAACAATAAGGTTGCACAACGTCGCTGCCAAAAGTTTTTTTTTTAAACAATTTTTCAAAGTTTGTTTTCAACGAGGATCGTAGCACTGCATGACACCATTATGCCAACGTGTGAGTTATTTTGCAGAAAATAGCGAGGGCTGAATATTGATTTTTCTATTTGTAGCGTAACTGTAGAGATTCTGACTAACGAGCTTGTCTAATGTGTTGAGAGGGCGAGCTTCAAACAAAAGTTCGTTATTGCCTTAAAAATGAACGACCTCATATAATTTGTTCTAAGAACTAGACTTCTATTAGCGCTCCATCTTTCTGTTTTGTCAAATTAATTTTTCACGAGACAATCCCTTCGTAAATAACGTCAATAAAATACACGGATAACTGTTTGTTTTTAATGTTCAGCAGAACGACAATGAAACAATACTTCCCCCTTCCTACGTCTGGATAAAAATAGCTGATACTGAAGACTTGACCAATGCAGTTCAATCAGATTTTATAAGAATGTAAACTTGCGTATTGTACGTGATAGCTGGGATAAATATTGGCTTTAGCTATTTTTTTTTTTTTTTGCTTGTCAAATCTAGAGCAAATAACTCGTCAAAGCGGGACGTCCATAATTCAATATTCTATCCGAAATTATCTTTATGAGATGAATTTATCTTTTCTGTTAAACTAATTTTGTAAAGCAAAGCAATAACTTTCGTATCTAAGGACTGTAAATCAAATTTATAATATTAAGCTGTATTGGGCGTCGGTGGCCGCAACGGTTTAAGCGTTGACACGGCGCTCATCGCTGTAAGGTAAAGGTCCCGGGTTCGAATCCAGCGGCCCTGCATTCAAACCCGACATACCTACAAATGGGCTTTTTTTAAAAACACCGGCACCCCGAGGGTTGATATAACCTCTGCTGTTGCGAACCCTCGTTAAAAAAAAAAATAAATAAAATAAAATAAAAATTTCAAAAAAAATTCATAAAGTATGCAATGAACCTGCAGATTTATAAAACAATAAAACATATTAAAAAAATAATAACAATAATAAAAAGTTCTATTCAAGAAAAATACAGGGTGATTCACTACTAGTACGACAAAGTTCATCAGGTGCTTCTACACCTCAAATGCAACAAAAAGGTTCGTAAGAACCAAGGTTCGATTTTCAACCCTTTCGCAGATATTCAACATTTTATGTTTTTTCAACCATGTATGGTTTCGTCATAAATCATGAACTTTTTATTTTTGGAGAGATGCAAAAAGAAGAATGAATAAGAGCGTTAAATTTTCTTTTAGCAGGCACACTTCTAGACTTTCAATTTATTTTTTGGTAAAAACACAAACTAAGTCTTTAAAAAAACTGCTAAATTTACAATATGTAAAAAAAAACACTTGCAACCTCGTTGGACAAATTCACGGTAGAGTTTAGTAAATGTCATAACAGCTTGTTCCTTTTAACCTTTCTAGCTGTATACCACATTCTTTAATTAAACGAAGAAGTCGTTATGAAATTTGCGCCAATTTTGGGGTGGATTCGATTAGGAAATTTCGGACACCGATGTCCCGGTTCCCACTTAAAAAATTAAACTCCTCTGAATTATGTAAATTGAAACTTTATAAAATTGTTGTAAACAAAAGATCAAGAATTTTGTATTTAAATATCTACGATACCCATGCTATTCGACTCATAAGACCAACAACAGTGCACTGCAAAAATCAATCGACTTGCGTGTACGGTTTAGTATCCGATGGAGTTGTTGAACATAAAATTTGTATAGGAGGTGGAAAAGCATGCTGAATTGTACAATTACACCCTCTCTTACAAATGTTTTTTTTTTTTTCAAAAACACGGGCACCCTGAGCATATGACCTCTGCTGTTGCGAACCCTCGTAAAAAAATAAATAAATATATTAAGCTGTATTATACCTTTGTCGGTTCCAAAATGTTACGCTGTACAATAAATTTAATTATAAATAAGTCAAAGAAAATCATTAATAAATATGCTGCTAAGTAAATACTTCCTAGAAAGCTAAAAGGGAAAATCAAATTATCCAAGTGTCTACATAGTCTGAAGACGAGGCTAAGTTCAATTAAACAGAATTCTATATTGTGACAAAATATATTAAACATTCCATCCAATGGACAATAAAAATCGAGGGAATTTAAATCAATGAAAAGTAATAAACTACTCATTTTGTCCGTTCTTCTTTGTCACATAAATTTTTAAACATCATTTGGTTCATTTTCAACATCCTCAACAGTTCTTACTCTAAAAAATAAAATAATTAATAAAAGAGAAAAGGGCCATTAAGTTTTCTTCAATTTTAAGTTAGAAAAATATGTTTAAATGAGATTTTATCCAAAACTAAAAACATATTTTTTTTATTTTCCAGTTTTTCTTTTTTATTTTTTACAGTAGGTTTTTACCTAAGTTTTGCGCCTTAAAAAAAAACAATTTCCACACAAAATGTTGATTATAAGTAAGATTTAAATCTAACCATTTTTGATCAAAATAGTTTGTGTCTGTTAAAAAAGTGAATTATAGATTGGGTTTTATCTCAAATATTTTCAAGAGACGTTTAAGTCTAAAAGGTGCTTTACGCAAGAGTTCACCATATGTTATCAAGGGGATTTGTAAAAAAATATAAGTTATTTAACTTTGTCTTATAAAAAAGAAGGTTATCAACGGTTTCAACTAAACGATAAGTTGTACTTTGTTTTTAACGCATGTTTCACCTAAAATGTTAGGTCTACTTGATAATCCTAAATTTATCCTTAAAAAGAAAGTTGCTTCTCTAGTATAAATAATAGGTTATTAACAGTTTTTGGTCTTGAAAGTAGGTTAAGTATAAATAAGTTACATATCTCGGAATGTTAGTTGTTTTAAGAACATTTTACATTTTTCGATTTAACATGGAATAAGTAATATAATGCATATAGTTCACGCACATTTTGGATTTTTGGTGAAAATTTTTGAAAAAAACAAATCAATCGTTTTCTCTTTACTGTTACAAGTATTTATCTATTTACTTTTTGTGTAAAGTTTATGGAATTATTCACTGTGTATGAGTAATGTACATGGCATTTACAAAAAAAATTAAATTTAAAATATAAAATTAAAATACCTTGTGTTCCCTATATTATGAGTTTCTGACGTCTCCTAATTGTCTTTCCTTCATTTTATCTTGTGATTTTGTGATCTGCAAACAGATCCTCAAAGTTCGATGTATTCCCTTTAACTTAGGATTTTTCCTTCTTGAAGGTGGGATAATAGATCATCTAAAAAAATAAATAAATAAATAAAAAAAACAAAAAAATAAATAAAGAAGTTTTTATCCCCAACGTTTCGGATTTAGTTTAATCCTTCCTCAGGCTCAGGTGAGTTAACGCAATGGTTAAAACAGTGGTCGTCAGTCATTAATATTTTATAACAGTTTATTTTAAAAAAGGGCCAGTGTGGTACATATTTGTCTTTCAGACTCCGAACAAACGTTTTAATATTTTCTATTTAATTATATTAATATTTTCAAATATTAAAATTGGCTCTTTTTTAAAATAAACTGTTATAAAACATTAATTACTGATGACCACTGTTTTAACCATTGCGTTAACTCACCTGAGGAAGGATTAAAATAAATCCGAAACGTTGTGATAAAAACTGTTTTTTTTTTTTTTTCGACCTGTTTGATGAACAACTTGAACAAAAGGATCTTCAATGAGGTCACAACAGAAACGACAAACTCTTTAAGTCTTTTCCGAGCTTTCGACGATTATATCGTCATCATCAGGGCCTATTTATTTTAGCAAAATATCACCGTTAGAAACATGTTATATCATTTAAAAAAAATTACAAAAAACTATTATTTAGCTTACTTTAACTAGATGAGTGTTTAAATACATGTATCTGGAGAACAAGAAACTGCATATGTAATAATAATAATTAAAATTAGGTGAAGCTCAGTGTGGAGTTAATTAAAAACAATAAAACAATATAATATACAATAAAAATTTAAAAATTATTTAAAACCCCAAACGCTTCTATAGGTTATCTCGGTTACACAACTATAAATACACGTCTCTTTTTCTTAAAATAAATAATAAAATTACTTTTTTCCCCTCAAGTACATTGGAATATCACAGTGAAGATTAGATTATATTTTTTTAAATTGTACTATATACAGTTGACTCAAAATTACAAGTGCTAACTTCCACAAGGGAGAGATACGAAGCTCAGGTGGCTTTTCCATTATAAGTGATCTACGGACTCGTTCAATGCCTAAGCGGGTAGTTAACAATTTACCTCTAGGGCTGCACTCTCTGTTTCCGCTTTTTGTTCAAAACCCTGTATGTGTTTAGGAGACCACCATAAACCGAAATGGAGCCCAATCTTGCACATTGCACGTACTTGGGGTAAGACATATATACCTTTTCTACCAGTAGTCTCCTTTCCAAGTTTGACCCCTTCGCCAAGACTTTTGGTGAATCAAACTTGCAAAAATGACCACTGTCAATTGCATGGATTGTGAATCCAGAAATTATTTTTCCGTTCTCACAATCCAACCTATGTTGGTTCATCCGTGCTGATAACTTTCGTTTGGTTTGTCCCAGATACGGCATATTACAACTCCCCACATGATACCCGATAAACCACATTGCATTGCGAGCCCACTGGCTTGATATTTTGCTAAAATAAATAAGCTCTAATGATGACGATATAATCGTCGAAAGCTCGGCAAAGACTTAAAGAGTTTGTTGTGACCTCACTGAAGATCCTTTTGTTCAAGTTGTCCATCAAGCAGGTCGTTACATCATCTCATCTTTAATTATTAATTTCACTAGTTTCGTGGTCCGCTTGACCAATTAATATCTTACAATTAATTAATTAAGGTTTTTAGTTGAGATAAAAAAGTCAATGGCACGAGCGGGATTCGAACCCACGATCTTCGGCTTGATACGCCGCTGCTCTACCACTTAAGCACTTAAGCTAACGTGACCTCGATCCACCCGGACACCAACCTCCCATCTCAAGCCGAAGATCGTGGGTTCGAATCCCGCTCGTGCCATTGACTTTTTTATCTCAACTAAAAACCTTAATTAATTGTAAGATTTTAATTATTAATGTTATATTATTTCATTCCTGTTTCTCATCCAAACCTTCTTCTAGTAAAATCTCCACCTGGATTTCAGCTTGACAGTTGACTCTAAATGTACGAAAACACTCCGGGATCCTCCAAAAATCGAAAACAATGATTCGGTGGCGTGCTCGAGTAAAATTTTCATATAGGGTGGCATTCCTACACGCACTCTATATAGAACCTAGGAATAACATCCTTCAATTATGAGTGACCATTGAACAACCTTTCTCTGGCATGGCGGACATATTTTATTACGTGCTATTTATAAA